TAGGTAATGTAAAGATATTATTGTGAGTTTGCATCTCAGAAGGTTTGGAAGAAATGGAATCTGAGATATTTAGTTTTCCTTCTATAGAGGCGCTTGCCGTATACTCAGTTCTCACAGTTGTGCAGAGTACCATAGCTTGTCTTGTACGTTGGGTCTGGCCATCATTAACTTGGTCCTCCACGTAAAGAGATGGGTTTTTAAAATTTATATATTATTAAAATTATGGATTTTGTTAAAAAGTGCATCATGCACTTAGTGCACCTCCCTGTATCTCAAATTTTACTAGAATAACCCTTGTCATGTAACTAGATAAAAATGCTTTTAGCTAACTCTAACTTAAACTCTAACCTAAATACTAATACTAACCTTAACACTAACTCTAATTCTAACTCTACTATTTATCTGCTTATTTACTATTAAAAAGCAGAGATATACTTAGTACACAGGTGCATTTTTAGTTTTTTTCTAAAATTATAATTATATATTAGTACTTTATTTATTATATTTTTTATATAATAACTTTAAATAAAATTTTATAAATATTTTTGTAATTGTTATACCAAGTTACTTGTATAATAGCACAAAGTAACATATTTTTTTAATTGATTAACTTTTAAAACTTAAAAATTTTAGATTTTTTTTTTTTTTTAAAAAAAATTGAAATTGAATTTTTTTAAAAAATATTACTATAAATCAAAAAATTATAAAACTTTTTTTATATACTCAGATATTATATATATTTTTTGATTGCTTATTAATATGTAAAAATTTGAGCAATTGTATTTAATTGATAATTTTCTAGTCAACTAAAGAATAAGTATAGTATAATATGACTTAGTTTACTATATAAATCTAATATAGGCTAAATTTAAAATTGCTCTAAAATAAACTTTTTTTGTACTAAGTTAATTGATTTTGTCAATTAATTGAAAGTTGTAGAGCTCATCTTTGCAGTTTTAATAGTGGTTAAAACATCAAAATCAGCTTGTGGGTGCCAAGTATCTTTAAAAAAAACTTTTATTTTACTATGTAAACTTCTTTGCAATTAATACTATTGTTTGCAAAGAAGTTTATATAGTAAAAGAAATATTTTCTAAAGATATCTTGGCATCTACAAGCTGATTTTGATGTTTTAACTACTATTAAAACTGCAAAGATAAGCTCTACAACTTTCAATTAATTGACAAGATCAATTAACTTAGTACAAAAAAAGTTTATTTTGGAACAATTTCAGATTCAGCCTATATTAGATTTATATAATAAACTGAGTTATGTTATATTATGTTTATTCTTCAGTTGACTAGAGAATTATCAATTAATTAAAATGTATCAGAATAGTATATTATGCTTACTAATGCACAAAATTTTTTAAACTTGCTAATTTAATTTTTGTTAAATAAGCTAACTTTTAAGTATACCAAAATAAAATATAAATATTTATTTACTGTATATATTATATAAATTTAATTTAAAGTTAATAAGTAAATTTTTAAAATTTAAATTTTATAAATATACTAAATTTAGTATCTTGTACAGTACTAAATTTAGTATAGTAAATGAATAACTACTAATATAATAATTTGCAGAGGTAATATAAAAATCTTTTCATAAGTGTTTTCATAGTATCTGCCAGATAACAAGAAAATAATCAGTACTGCAAAAATTTAAATTATTGCTCTTTTCAATTTACTGTGATTATCAAATTTGGTAGATCATGCATCACTGGAGAATTTGAAAATCTGGAAATCAGCAATTTAATAATTATTTTTAATCTTTGAGCAAAAATATCTTGACAACCACTAGGCAAAATTTAATAATTTTTTTATTTATATTTTACAGATTCGTGGAATTTAAATAAAAAAAGTTCATTAAATTTGGCCTGGTGGTTGTCAAGAAACCTTCACTCAAAGTTAAAAAAAAATTTAATAAAATTTTTCTCAAACTTTTAGTAAATATATCTTGACAACCAACAACTCAATTTTGATAAACTTTCTTTTTTTATATATGTAGAATTCAAATAAAAAAAAATTTATCAAAATTTGATTGATATTTGTTAAAATATATTTGTTCAAAGTTTTGATAGACTTGAGTTTTTAAAACAAAAAAATGAAATTTTTTTTATTTGAATTTTAGGGAGATGTAGAATTCAAATAGAAAAATTATTAGATTTGATTTAATATTTTATGAAATATCTTTATTCAAATTATGAAAAATTATGAGTTTGAGTTTTTGAGTGAAGATATCTTGACAAATACCAAGCCAAATTTGATTACTTTCTTATTTGAATTCTACAGATCTGTAAAATTCAAATAAAAAAATTCATCAAATTTGACTTAGTGGTTGTCAAAATATCTTTGAAAAAATTTTTATTTGAGAGATGTTGAATTTTTTAAAAACTTTGAGTGAAAATGTCACCAAGCCAAATTCAGTTTTCTTTTCTTTTTTTTTTGAATTCTACATGTTCATAGAATTCAAATAAAAAAATAGTTATTGAATTTAGTTTAATATTTGATAAAATATTTTTATTCAAAGTTATTGCTTTTGATAAACATTGAATTTTTTAAAACTTTGAGTGAAGATATCTTGGCAACTATCAATTCAAATTTGGTAAGCATTTTTTTATTTGAATCCTACATATTCATAGAATTCAAAAAAAAAAAAAAATCATTGAATTTGACTTTGTGGTTGTTGAGGTATCTTCATTTAAATTTTGAGAAAATTTAATGCAATTTTTTTTAAAACTTTGAAAAAAAATATTTTAATAGCCACCAAGACAAATTTAATAAACTCTTTTTAATTTGAATTTTACTGATTTGGAGAATTTAAATAAGAAAGGTTCATAAATTTGGCTTGGTATATATTGGTTGATAAAATGCTGAAAAAGTGAAAATAGAAGAGGAATTTGAAAATTTTTATTTGTTAGCAAGAAATTTAGATTAAAAAGCCTTAAATTTGGGAATTTTGAAGATTTCTATGTAATCATCGATCATTTGATAATCACAGTAAATTGAAAGTGATAATCTATTTATTTATCAAGTTTTATCTGTAATAATTATTAATTGAAGTATTTAACTATCCTGATTAATTTTTTATTAATGCTGTTGATGAATCAGTTCAAGTAACTGAATAAAATTGAATTGATGATACAAATGCTTCTCATATTAATTTAGTTTGAAATTCGTAGTGTTACTATACTATTTGCACTATAATTTTTATTTTATTTTACATAGTTATTAGTTAAACTAGTTTAACATAACATCAGGAGAAATTTTTTAGTGCTGTTCTGCGCAGATTTGCAAAAAAATTAATAATAAATTAAATGAAAATCTGTGCAAAACTTCAGACTCACCAGCTATAGCTACAGAAGCTAAATACAGTTCTGCGCAAAATTTCAATATATAAAAAATTTTGCAGTTTTTTGCAAAAAATTCTGCAAAAATCTGCATTTTCGCAGGTTTTTGCAGATTTGCACTTATTTAATTCTCTCAATGAACTCTATTTTTTTAAAAATTTATACAAAAATACAATCATATTTAGGGTTTAGAAAAAAAAAGTCCAGTTAATTTTGGAAATTTTGAAGGCTATAAAAACAGTGTTCTACAATTGGAGCTTGAGCCAAAATTAGTATATTTAATTAGTATGATAAACACACTTTTAGCCAATAGGCTCTATTTGTATTTCTTACATGCCTGCTGCCAGTAACAAGTCTTCAAAGTTGACTCATTCGGGCCCAACAGGTCGGGCCCAGGCCTGACCTAGTTAACTTTGAAGGCTTGTTACTAGTAGCAGGCGTGCAAGAGATACAAATGGAGCCTATTTGCTAAAAGTGTATTTATTATACTAATTATATATATGAATTTTGGCTTAAGCACCAATTGTAGTACACTGTTTTTATAGCCTTCAAAATTTCCAAAATCAACCAGGCTTTTTTTTCCGAACCCTAATTACATTAATCAGTCAAATTGTGATGTTTTTTTTAATTAGGTATTTTTATGTTCTCCCCCTCTTATAAACTAATTAATATTATTTTTAGCCTATAAACAAAGAATCAATTTGGGTGGCCTTATTTGGAATGAGATATATATTATTTCACTGACAATCACTTCACAGATAGCTTAGTTCACCAACAATTAATTCACAGACAAGTTCATTTCACCAACAATTATTTTACTAATAGCTCATTTCACCAACAAGTATTTTTTATAAATTACACTAACCTTAACTCTAATTCTAACCTGATACTAACAACAATAACCAGAATTACTTTGTCAGTGAAATGTTGTCAGTGAAACAATTGTCAGTAAAATGAACTTATCTGTAAATTAATTGTCAGTGAACTAAGTTGTTGGTGAAGTGATTATCGGCGAAATATGTACCACCTATTTAGGATGTACTGTAACATATATATACGTACTTGTAAATGTGATTAGACTACCGCATACTGTACAGTTTATATTGCCAAACTTTTTTGATACATATATACATGTTTTTAATTAATTTTGTTTGTAATTTCATTTATATAATTTTATTGTTGTAGTTGATAATTTCTAAATTTATACATATACAGGTTTTTTTACTTTGATTTAAAATTTATACAAAATATGTATCTACTAAATATTTGCAAATTTGAATTATTCGATAAATTGCGCTATATAGTATTAATATTTTTAAATTATAGTTAAATTATATACAATGCATATAATAGTATTATATATAGAGTGTGATACTAAAAATAAATAGATAAAAATATGTCACTTTAGATGTGATGAAGTAATCTATATTATCAATTATCAGTTATAATCAACTTATATTAAGTGATAGTTTTTTAGTTAGTGATAGTTACAGATTAGCATTAGAGTCAGGGTTAGCATTAAGGTCAGGGTTAGAGCCAATGTCATTATTAGATTAAGAGGTATTTATATTGTAAGTTTGTATACTTTTTTTCCATACAAGTTAGATTCTTATTTCCCAAGCGAAACAACTTTTTTTTATTAGTCTCATTTACTTTTTTTCTCTTAAAAAATTATTCTTCATTAAGCTTTTTTTTTTTTTTTTTCTCTCTCTATTGAGTTTTTTTTTTTTAATAGAATGAATACCCTTTAAAAGTATTAAAAATATTTTACCTGATGGTTGCTTAGATGGAGCAAATACTTATAACTTAACATTATATGAAAGTTTACCCAATGTGAATATTTCTAATTTAAGTACTGAAAATAACACCAATAGTAAACTAGAATATGACTCTGAAAACAATTATGAGTACAATTCTGAGGACAATTTGCAGGACAATTCAAAAAATATAAGTGGTTATCAGTTAGTATACTTACCTTGTGTTAAGCTATACCATGAAAGAATTTTGAAACATGAGAAGAATGTCAAAAAGAATTAAAATGCTATGCAAAGCAAAATAACTTTGTTATTAGAAAGAAACAGGTGGACAATAGTTATGATCTACATTTATATACATGGGATTGTGAACAGTTTGGTAAATATATTCTATATAAGACTGTCTCATCTAAGAAGCAAAGAAATAAAGGTTCAAAAAGATTAATTGCCCTTTTCTTATTAATGCATCCAAGAGTAAAGGTTCTAATCATGAAATGGTAATTAAACTAATATTAGTACATCTTGAGCATAACCACCTTTTGATCTCTAAAAATGCAATTTATGCTACTGGATATTGAAAGCTTACCACAGAGATGAAAGATCTTATTGAAAGCTATCACAGGTCAAATGAATCCATACTAGTTAACTATCAGGTTCCCGATAGGCCTCTGATTTTTGTATTATAGAAACATACTAGCTTACTGGTAAAGCTTTCCTAAAAGTAGCCGATTTGTCTCTGATTATAAACAGATCTTTGGCACAGATAGGGCACTATTTGAAAATATATAGATTACAAATTATATTCATATCGGTACCCGACATTTATCCGATTTGTATCTTATTGTTTGTAATATGACTATAAAATAGGGCACTATTTAAAAAATATATATAGTACGGATCATTTTAATATCGGTTACCCGACATTTATCCGATTAGTATCTTATTGTTTTTAATATGACTATAAAATAGGGTACCATTTAGAAATATATATAGTACAAATCAATTTAATATTGGTTACCTGACATTTATCTGATTTGTATCTTATTTTTTGTAATATGACTATAAAAATAGGGCATCATTTAGTAATATATATAGTACAGATCATTTTAATATCGATTACCCAACATTTATCTAATTTGTATCTTATTGTTTTTAATACGACTATAAAATAGGTCACCATTTAGAAATATATATAGTGCAGATTGTTTTAATATCAGTTACTAGACATTTATCCGATTAGTATCTTATTGTTTGTAATATAACTATAAAAATAGGGCACCATTTAGAAATATATATAGTACAGATCGTTTTAATATCAGTTACCTGACATTTATCCAATTTGTATCTTATTTACTATAAAACCAGATGCATATCGGGTTTTTATAATAAGCTTATCGGCAATACTGGTAAGGCTATTTATTAGTCTATATGTTTATACAATAGGTTTGTATATTATACATATTTTACTTATATATATTATTGTATTATGTTTATTGTATTGTAATTGTTTTAAATTGAATAACAATCATGCGATAATAGCAATAATATATGCAGTATTGTTTATTAAACAAACAAAAGTAAAATCTAAGCTATATGAAAAAGCTAATCTGAAAGCAAAATCAAAATTTATAAATCTCTAAGACAAAGTTATTCATTAGTGGAACTGACATTATCATTAGTATTACCGGAATCATTTTGGGCTTCATTGTTCTGAGCATTATCATAATTATCGTCGTCGTTGCCATGGGCTTCATCATTAGTAGCTTCGTTAGTTGCATTATCGGTATTTCTATTGCTGTTGCTACTACTACTAATATTGCTGCTTCTACCGCCAATGTTGCTATTACGACTACTTGTAAGTACTTGTATATCTTCTTCGTCTTCATTAGAAATGTATGAAGAAGAAATAGTCCAGGCAGGCGTATCTGTTGGTGCTTTTGATTTGTCTGACCACTTATCATTATTATACCAACGTTTTCTTAAACATTTTATGTAGGAGATTCTTTCTCCCATTTCGTCAGCCAACCGCAAAATTTTCTTAACCTATTATCATAAAAAAAAAAAAAAATTAATAAATAAATTTAAAAAGTATAATGAAAATTATAATTTTATCTAAGAAATTAAAAAAAAATTAAAAAAAAGTTTAACAACAAAATGTTATTTACTCTACGCAATCTCCATAGCTTATCATGGATATGAATTACATGATTATTATTTTTGTCCTTGGGGTAAATTTTTAATCGTTTTTCAGATAATGTTCATTCTACATCAGTTTCCGAAAGTTTGTCCGAATGATAATCTCCATCATTGAGTATATCCTCAATATCGGCTTTGAAATCGTCAAAATCCATTTTTGGTACAAGTCTTATCAGGTTATCATTGTTTGAATTAATTATATGATTAATACCCCAAATTTACCTTTTTTTTTCTATTAATAAAATTAATTATAATTAACATTGGCAACCTGATATTTCTATAAAAAAAACTTAACAACCTTAATACCTACTTCAGATTGTCGTCTATTTACACCTTTTCATTTTTTATCAGCCTTAGATTTTTTAGGATCCTGATCTATAGTATTTTTTTCATGTCGATGACAATGAAGTTGCTGAAGAACGTACTTAAGTTCAGTATCCTTATACCTAAACCGACCTTCCAAAGCCGACTTGATTGCTGGTATGGTTTTTTTAAACACATGCTGACTAATATTCGTATATTTTTTAGTTGGATCGAGTTGAAGAGTATTATCTAAACCAGATAAAATATTAATTACTTCATCCTATTAAGTAAAATAAAATAATAATGATAATAATAGTAAAAATTAAGATAATATTAGTATTTTAAAATAAAAAAAAACAAATAAAATAATTATTAACCATTAATAACAATAATATTAGTATTTTAAAATAAAATAATTATTAACGATAATGACTATTATATTCACATACATGGAAGAGCTTATATTGTTCAGATGATATTTCTTCCAGAATTTCACGCAATTTTCTAGTATATCTGGCAGAAGGTTCCGGAGAGACAGAAAGTCTTCTATTTTTTGCCGAGATATCACAAAAACTTTCTTTTTTTTTACTTATTTTTTTACTAGGGCCAGTAGAGGTAACAGTATCATCCTATCTATTAGTTACAACAACATTAGTTACAACAGATTCACCATAATCATCATAATTATTAATATCATCGTCTAAAAGATCCATATTATTTATTATAAATGACAACCCAGATGATTGTAATGCACCAACATCATCAATGTCAATAGGTGTTGGTGGATTATTTTGTGTTGGAGTTAGTGGATTATTTGATGTGTTTGATTTTAATTTAGCAACTTCATTAACCAAACTTTCTACAGTGTTTTTTAAGAAAGAGATTTCTATTAATGTATAAAATTTTTGTTAAACATATCGGTAAGTCAATAGTTCAATTATAATTACATAGTTACGTTTATCTTTTTCATCAGGACTTTTAGAACGACGGCGAGAACGTTCATCAGTTGGAGAAGGTGATCTTCGACTGCGACTTTTGTTATCTCGGTGTGAACGACGAGATGTTGTTACTGATCGATAGTTGTTTTGACGAGGTGGTGTTACTGATCGATGGTTGTTTTGGCGAGGTGGTGTTACTGATCGATGGTTTCTATGAGCTGGTGTTGCTGATTGTTGCCGTTGTTGAGACCTATGATAAGGTGTTGACGACCGAAATGGCATATTTCGAGCTGACATGGAAGGTGAAACTGAATGTCGACTTGAAACGATACTGATTCTGTGAGAGCTTCTACCACGTATTTTTCAAAAAAAAAAAAAATAGAAAGAAAATTGAGTAGAGTAAAAGCAATTGCAAGTAACCAAAAAAATGAAAAAGAAATCAATTTGGTTATTGGATATTCAGTATTTAGTAGAGAGAAAAAAGAAAGACGATTGAAAGTATCCAAAAAACAAAAAAGAAAATTAATTGAATTATCGGGTATTCGGTATTTAGTTGAAAAAAAAGGAAAAGTGATTATGTATATCCAAAAAAACAAAAAGAAGAGTTATCGGGATTTGGAGAAAAAAAGAAAATCAATTTTAAATATCCAAAAAAATGAAGAGAAAAAAAAGAAAAGAATTTATGAAAAACAATTGGGTTATCAGATATTTGGTATTTAAATTGAAAGAAGAAAGAGACAAAAAAAAGCAATTTATTTATATTAATTTTACCTATTACTACTAATCACGCTTTTGTTTAATATATTAGTATATGAAAGTATAATGACAGTTATAGAAAAGATTTTTTCGAGCAAAGCGAAAAAGTCAAAAAATGTCATTAAAAAAAAGAATGATGCGAAAGAGTCAAATTTGCAAACGTATGATAAAAAGAATGAATGACCTATTTATAATTTTTACAGTCAGGTCAAATTTTCGGAAGTTGAATGATTTCATCTTTGATTGCATATGACGTACTTTAAAATGCGTTGTTAATTCTTAATTTAATATTGGAATAAAATTTATAGTCAGATAAATTGTATAAAGTAAATATATATTATTATGTAATTTAAAAATTGTGCAGTTTGCAAATAATTGCCGATAACTCTATATATATATATATATATTATTATGTAATTTAGAAATAAAATTTATATTATACAATTTACAAATAATTGATTAAACAAATAAAAGACCAATTGGTATACCGATAACTCTTTATAGTTAGTTCGAATCATTAAAAATGTCAAAACGAAAGTTTGATTTCACTGATAAAACTAGCAAAATAGAATTCTAATAATGTTTTCATTATGCAGTTTTAACTTTATAGTTGTTAATTCAAATCACTAAAATGTCAAACCAAAAAAAGTATATAGCTATATAAAATATATGAAAAGAACTATTAGCAGATCTATATGAAATTTTAATACCGACGATGTAACCAAAAGTATAATTAACAAAAAGAGAGTTTAATTGTTAAAACAAAGAGTATAAAATTTATTTGATAAATATTAAACAAAAAAATATATGGTTAAAACTATAGATATAAAATATATGGAAAGAACTATCGGCAGGTCTATATGAAATTTTAACACCGACGATTTAAACAAAAGTATAATTGACAAAAAGAGAGTTTAATTGTTTAAACAAAGAGTATAAAATTTATTTGATAAATATTAAACAAAAAAATATATAGCTAAAACTTTAGATATAAAAATATAAAGAAAGATCTATCGGCGTGTATATATGAATTTTAATACTGATGATATAAGCAAAAGTATAATTGTTAAAAAAGAGTATAAAGTTTATTCAGAAAAGCTCATAAGTCATATTGGCAATTCAAATTTTCTTAAAGATTCAGATTATATATAAATAAAGCTTTCTTTCTAATTCGTTTACAAATAAATTCTTTTATATTTGTTTTTTTTTTTTTTTTTTTTGGTATTAAGGTGACCGACCTCTTTGGTCTGGGAAACTTTTTATTAAAATATAGACAAAGTTTTATATGTAATTACAACGATAGTACAT